CCAAATGGAGAAAATGGAGAAATTGAGATTTTTCCGAGAGACAAACAAAAAACACGAACCAGTCAAACCACATTAAAAGCTTTATAAAATATTTTAGTACATTCATACCGATATTCTTTTTTCGATCGGTAAACAAACTACAAACAAACCAAGTCGCCATGTTGAAATTACGTCACAGGGGCAACTCAGGCAACAAAATCTGGTCCGACTTTAACGTCATAAAAGGGGCGTGTTTCCGACGGGAAGTGACGTTTTTCGTGACGTTTTCATCCGAGTTCCGACTTGGAGAGAGATAATCGAACGCACCATAATACTTCTTAATTTGAATAGGAAGTTTATACTTGTTAGTAGATTTACTTAGGGCCTCTTTTGGGTATTCACCAGTCACCTAAAGAAGAAATGTTTAATTACTCTGCATTAACTGTGGTCTCCACACTGTGGTTTTTATGTACAGAATGCTGTAGCTGCAGGACTTTCTGTAATCCACTCACACACTGTCTGTGATTGGCTGCACCATGCGTCTTTGCAGACCACATCGTTTTATCTCGAAACACCACCGGAACATCTCATTATATAACTGGGCACGTTTGATGTTCTGGTTATGGAGGATGTTGTTTGATGATAGTGATTTATTTATTTCTTTAATTTTTTTAAATGTTTGCCCCCATAATTGTGGCTGCATAACCTTGTGTGGAATTGTGGGTTTTTTTTTTTTGGAAGTACGTGCAGTACAGAGATGGAGATAGAGCCCGGGAATCCCGCAGCATGAGGGCACGGGCGTAAGGGGAGTCCCCTTCTGAGGGGGCCATGTGCTGCCATCTTCTGGGGGGGATGTTTGTGCTGGGGCTTTGAATTGGCCTCTGCTGGAGCTCAAGGGCTGCCCTGACAAATGCCTGTCTTTAAAGTGATAATTGCAGGCCATCTCCATCATCCGCTGCGGTCGCAGGACCCACCAGGTGCAGAAGGTAGGCATGTGTCAGTGACAGTAGTGGGGCATGTCAGAAGACACGATCGTATTGGGGTATGTTTTTTTATTTTATTATTTTTTTTTTTTGATAATTCGTTTG